CACACACACACACACACACATACGCACACAGAGTCATGCAATCATATCTTTTTGGGGACCGCTCATTCATTTCTATGGGAAAAATGCTAATGCTAACTATGACAACCTTAACCCCTATCCAGCCCTAACCATAAGTAACCAAAGAAAATACAAGAGTTTTTGAATTTTTAGTTTTATCATTGGAGTCATGGAAACTGGTCCCCATAAGGTAAAAACACACACACACACACACTGACACAGACACAGAGACACACACACACACTAAGATCATCCTGAGAAAAAGCAGACTGAGGAGATGGGGGGAGGAGGTGTACAAAACATCACTGTCAAGTTCAATACAAAGGGCGCCCCATAAGAAACGGGACTGGGTGAGTGACGGGGGAGATACTGAGGGTCCCGAATCAGAGCAACAATTAAAAAGAAAAAAGGCAAAATAAAAGCCTCAGATAGAACAGAAGAGTCAGCTAACCGGGCACTGACGGCGTCACGGGATATCTGACTATCAGCGCCTAATTAAGCATTTTAGGCAAAATTAAGTGTGACATGAATGTAGTGTTGGTGACTTTTGAAACTCTTCAGTCTGTGCTCATGCACATGTTTTGAGTGACTCCTGGCCTGAACATGTCTGCTAACTGTAAAAGCTGGAATGGAAAAAGTAAACGGACAATCTGCCAGCTTCTGCATGACCAAAGTGTTTGCGGCTCGCCCACAAATCTCTGTGAAGCTTACGGCGGCGTTTGTAAAGCGTTTATGGAGCATGGGACAGCGCTGCGGCTGCCAGACACCTTCTCACCAGCAACGTCTCCCGTCCCCTCTAAGCAAGGAGGCCAGCTGAGGTGCACGGTCTCTCAGTGGTACCAGTACCTCATGGTACACAGTCATGGTTCATCGACTGTAGCGATGTGTCAGGGCTTGATGGGGGGGGGGGGGGGGTTAAACCATCTTACTTTCTACTTGGGAAACAGACTTTTAAAAAGTCAAAATTCTGTCTTAATACACTAATTCAATCAAGTTCCTTAAAACTGGGCAGTTAAGGAAGGATCAAAAATATGTGAAATGTGAAGATGAGTGTCCCCAACCTTCACATCAGCCCTCCCCACTTCGTTTAGTGCATTCATCAGAGGGCAAGATAAAATCAGTAAATAACACAGACTGAAAGAGGGGACGGTCTGGCTGTGTCACACAGCACACAGGCTGAGAGAGGGGACGGTCCGGCTGTGTCACACAGCACACAGGCTGAGAGAGGGGACGGTCCGGCTGTGTCAC